AAAGTTGTTGTACACAAGGCAAATGACATCAACTTCCATTGCAACTGAGTCAGGAATGAAAAAAGAGATAAAATCACCTAGTTACTAGAACGATTAAGTTCCTACAAAATCAGAACTTATGCTGCAATATATACTAAAATATTTAAAGTTTATTAAATTGCATTTAATAAACTGTATATTTTAAAAATTGGAAGCAATAGAAGTTGTAAAACTTTACTTTAGTAATGCAGTAGCATTGCTAAGTAGGATTCACCCCTAACCAAAATGGCTCCCATGTCTTTTGAAGCATTGCTATACAGGGAAAACGAGCTCCTATGCTTACCAGACTTTATAGACAAGCTTTTCTTGACCAGAGGACTCCATTGGTCCCCATAGCGTGACTCTAGACCTTGTCTTTTTTTCATCATCATCATCACCATCATCAAGGAAGTTAGTCCTGTCAATCTAGTTGTCGGTGTGTATCTCAGAATCAATTGGTGCTACAAGGATAAGTCTTACACCAATCTACTCCAACAGTCTATACGCAGGTCCATGTCCCATCAAATCATTTTTCCAGAAAAGAAAAAGTGATACTGTGACTGCTGGATAGAGCCATTTTGGCTGCATGTCGCCATTGTTCAATAAAAAAGCATGTGCTCCAAAATTTTGGGTGTGGTTGTGCATGCTCAGATCTGCATCTCTGGATGAAGCAATTAATTATTTTACCAAGCTATGCTTGGAAACAACTACTGCAATACTTTATTGGAAGTTTTCAGCTATAAGAAGGTATTAATCTTACATGTTACTGTTTTATCAAGTGTGTGATTTTATTTTAATTTAAAATAGAACAATTCATTAATGTTATTGTAAGCAATGATAAATGTCGATGAAAACAGCCTGGAGAACAAGAATAGATGCAACATTGCAGGGAAGATGAACACTCAGCTTACAGCTTCTTAAACAAGGACTTGCCAAGACTATTAATTTCACTTGTCATCGGTATACATTTAGTTGATATTCCTTCAGCATGTCTATTCAATGCTGTATCTTATAAATGATGTAAACTCATAACAATGATGATAATAATAATAAAGGAAAGTATTGTTTGTGTAAAATCAACAAGCATCACAATGGCAACCAAAGAAATATTATATTATGATAAAAATCAATACAAACAAGAACACAAAATTAAAAAAACAAGGTTAAGTAGGTTTCTAAATGACCAACAAAAGTATGAATTGAAAATGCCTCTCGTGATGCAAATTCTACTCTACATTGCAATGTGATCCATAATTCTTACATAATAACATTGAAAGTACAAAGTAGAGTAGAATTTGCATCACGAGTAAGATTTCCCTTTCGTATTTTTGTTGCTCGTATTGAATCCTACTTAACCTTGTTTTCTTAAAAGTTTTGTTCTTTTTCCTTTAAAATGGTACTGAAGAAAACAAAATATAGAAAATAGATTATACCTTATTTAAAATTTGGCCAAACTCCCTGTACAGGGACTTTTGGTCAGTAGTAATCAACTTTTAAAAATTTATAAAAAATCCCAATTTGTTTGCAATCAGCTTGCTTTCCTTACAACATAGAAACATTTATGTACAAGAAAATTTACAAAAATGGATAACTTCTACTTTTTATTTCTTATAAAGTTTGGCCCTATTTTCTATAGCTATAATATTTTTCAAATCTAACTTTTCATTTAGTGCAAACTTACTACACGGCATTAATACATGTATATAAATCAAAAAGTTATTCCTCAGTTCGATTTCTGTCTAAATACCTTGTACTTTAGCACTCAGACAACATGCTGCATTAGGACTATGGCAGAATCCACTGAAAGACATGCCAATGAATTTTTAAAATATGTACGTCAAATTTGGCAAGGTTTAGACATGTCTCAATTTTTTAATGAACTGTTTCAGGCTCTGCAAATGATAATTAATGAACCATGTGTAATGCATACCGTATTTTGTTTAAAAAAAAGCCTGGGCGTCTATTTCCTAATATGGTATTTGGACCTCAAAAAAAAATTATAAAAATTAAAAAAACATTGGCCCAGACTTGGGTTCGACCTCATGTTTCTGATTTCTGCAACTTCAGGCATTATCCACTAGACTACTCAGTCACACTTTGGCTAGTGTTGCGTCATTACAGTTAAATTGTATTGCTACCCTGGCGTTTATTCGAATGCGGTTTCTATTTAAGGATTTACGGTACAATTATTT